AATTGAGAAACTATGAAATACGGATAGTGTTTCTTTTCTTACCGCGCTGTTACAACATGCAAGGCAGTCAGGAAACCATTGAAATGCAGCGCCAAATTTAATTTTGTCCTTTTCATCGTGATTACTGTCATGATTGCTTTCAGCGAAATTTTCAAGAAGCACTGGACTACCAGAATTTTTATTGGAACACTCCCCCTGGTACTGAGTAGGAACTGTAATTCTTCCAATGTTACTTTTCAGAGAATGACCAATCAAAAATGAAAATGAAGGCAGGAGAGAAACAGAAAAATACAAGCAAACCGAAAGAAACAACCCAAATCACCACTCTTCTACTTTACAGGATCCTAAAATTAAATGACGGCTACCAGGGAAATTGCCTGGGGCGCAATGCGGGCAATACTGCAAACACATACTGGCTTAACATACTGCTATAAATAAAACCCAAACACTACGGGGGGGTTGGGGGGCACACGTGGACTGGGAAGAGGAGTGACACAGAAAATTAAACCAGAATGTGTCAGCTGGGTGGTGCATTCTCCTACATGCTTCTTGCATGTCACACCTCCCTCCCAGAAAATGAACTCCAGAGGTAAATGAGCTCTCCAAGGAAAGCCATCACAAATTGTTGGGGACATAGGAAAAGCTGCTGTATGACAAGAGTGGAAAGTCTGAAATTTCTCACTTGGCTCAGGAAAGCAACAAGTGATACACGGTGAAAAGAAGGTGAAATCGGGATCTTCTGTTCTCCTCTGTCACACAGAATTACGTTAAATTACAATATGGGGCACATCTAAAGCAAATAAAAGGCTTTTTCCCCCTCACGCATTAAGAAATTACCCCCACAATACCAATGAAATAATGATTACATTTTTTTTAATCTAAAACTAGATTAAAGAAGGAACTGGGCATTTGTATCGGTAAGAATGGTAGCCAGTTACAGGTTTGTGCAAGCACACTTTGGAAGAGAATTCGGATGCCAGCCACCAGCGTCTGAAGGTGAGCTTTGGGTCACTGTGACGAGGCAGGCGATTGGTTTGGGGAGCTGGTGAACCCAGCGCTGCTTACCCTAACGCTGCTGGTGTCCTTGATTACGCCAGCCAGGAGCAGGGGCAGCCAGGAGGGGAGGGGGGGGTGGAGGCGGGACACCCAAGCCAGAGGCAAAGCTTCTGGTCATGAGTTAAATCTGCCCGTGGTTGTCCTCTGGCACCCAGGCCAAGGGGATGCAGACCATTCCCTGTCGGACCCCTCAGCGCTCAGCCTCCAAAGCTGGGTTGCTCACCAGCTCCACTGGGAATACCTTGGGGGCCAGGAGCGGGTGGAGAGATTGCTAGTTGGCTCCAGGCAAACATTTTTAGGGGTCTTTCTAACTGTTTATGGGTGTTCAGTTTTCAACATGTGCCCAGACACATCGGTTGACGAATGTATCCGTAGCCAGAGACACCCAATCCTGTCCGATACCGCAGTTCCTCCACCTGAAATACCTCACGCACCGATATTTTTGCCTGCTTAGACGATGGTTTCAGGTCTTTCATTCGCATACCCACTAATTCTTTGGCACCACGTCCCACCGAGAGAGACTGCTGTTTCCACATCCACACTAAATGTCTGCAGAGACTCCTCTCCACCCCGGCAATGCTCTTACAGCAGCACTTTTCATCCAGCCAACACACGATGGGCTTGAAAGTCTTGTTACACATGATACAGGGTGCACGGTGGTGATGATACAGCAAAAGCAAAACTGTTTGATGTTTAAATTGCAGGCATCAAAGTCACGAAAGGGCCTGTGGCCAGCATTAAAACATTTCTGAAGTAAGTGGGTCAAGACGCTGGGTATAATCAATCTGTTTGCTGGCCATTGTTTGACCGTGAGTAAATTTGGCTCGTTCCTCCTCAGGAAGGACAGGAAATGCAGAGAAACAGTAGCTTTGTCTGGCTCTGAAACCTTCACATTTGAGTGTGGAAACCGTAGCTAAGAGAACAAATAAATCAACTGCAGAATTAAGGTTTTGTGCATGCATACACAATTAAAATAAACCCCCCACACTAAATGTGGTTTTCTTTAGAGCATTGTATATCAAAGTAGGCATCAAATCTTTGTTCTTCTAATTTTATATATAACCCTTAACTGCCTGCATTTTTCTTCTGTCTTTCCCCACTTCGTCAGGACCACTTACATTGAGAAAAAGTAAACTTTCTGCCCATGGAGTTCTGGATTAAGCATACCTCCCAAATGTATCTGGAAGGATTTGTCACAGCTTCATGAATCCCCGAATTAGCAAAGGAAAACGCTCTCAATCTGTACCACAATGAAAACCAGGCTTTTATGAAATGAAGCAAGTGATTCATTCTTCAAGATAATTTCTGCAGAGCGCTGTCTCATTAAAAATGAGAGAGTGACAAACTAATGATAGTTATTTTGGTTGCTCCTCCTCTCGCAATGGTATCTAGCTAAAAGTAACAGCTGAAAAGTACATTGTGATTTTCGTCAGCACCACTTACACTGAGAAAAAGTAAACTTTCTGCCCATGGAGTTCTGGATTAAGCATACCTCCCAAATGTATCTGGAAGGATTTGTCACAGCTTCATGAATCCCCGAATTAGCAAAGGAAAACGCTCTCAATCTGTACCACAATGAAAACCAGGCTTTTATGAAATGAAGCAAGTGATTCATTCTTCAAGATAATTTCTGCAGAGCGCTGTCTCATTAAAAATGAGAGAGTGACAAACTAATGATAGTTATTTTGGTTGCTCCTCCTCTCGCAATGGTATCTAGCTAAAAGTAACAGCTGAAAAGTACATTGTGATTTTAAAAATATATTTAGACACACTAATAGATGTGGGTTTGCATTTATATATATGCTCGGTCTTCATATATATACAGCGAGTGCTAATACTGGGCTATACTGAGAAGAGAATGAAGCCATGCAGATCTTCTGATGTTTTGTAGGATTTTTTTTTTTCTGAAATAATTGATTTCAATATAATACAAAGAAAATACAGCAAGAAATTAATTGACTGTTAGTCGCCATTTTGTTCAAAAAATTGGAATGCTGATCTAAAAAAAACCCCTAATGTTTAAAACAAAAGAAAAAAACACCGAAAATGAGCAGTTCGGGACAAAAGCCTAGTCTGGGTAATTAGGAAAATTTTTTTCAGACATTAGGAAATAATTTTTTGACACTAAGAAAAATTTCTTCACCAAAAGGGCTGTCAAGCATTGGAACGGGCTACCCAGGGAAGTGGTTGAGTCCCTGTCCCTGGAGGTATTTAAAAGCCGGGCAGACGAGGTGCTTAAGGCCATGGCTTAGTGGTGGGATGGCAGGGTTAGGTTAACGGTTGGCTTTGATGATCTTAAAGGTCTTTTCCAACCTAGACGATGCTGTGATCATTTAAGGCTAGGCTACTGTGCAGTCGTTGATATCGGTCAGCCCTTACTGCGACATACAGTATCAGGCCACACAAGAAACATCTTCTAAACTTCTACTGAACCAAAACCCAGACCATCACCAGCGTGGTTCTTGACGCTGTGATTACACAGCTAGGCTCTGGCTACAGCACACTGGACTGAGGGCACAATGTGGCTGCTGTTTCTTGGCAGTGCACCGGTAAGTAACCAGACACACTTCGTTCCCTTTTATCTAACAGCTATTTGCAAAGTAAAAGTCAATAATATGCGAGTGACCAAGAGTTCAAGGATGCACCTCATGGTCAGGTGATACGCTCCTGTACATAGGGTTATTCTTCTAATGCATGAGGTTAAAACTGACACCCCGCGTTTCAGTACTACATACCTAACTCCACCAAACACACACCAAGATAACCAAACAGCATGGAGGAAAAAAACACTTCATGACCTAACCGAGGTGACAAACTAAAGATCTTTGTTTACATTAAAAAAAAACAGGAAATAGAAAGCTTTGGTTAACTTTGTTTAGAGAACAGCTGCAGATGATTGAATAAATACGTAGGGGAACATTTAACTACAATTTTTTATTCCAGGATTTTATGATCTTTCCTCTTCCTCCAAAAAAATGACTGAATCAAAAAATTCCATACACCTATTAACTAATAGCAACCAGACTAGTAAACCAATAGCTGAAGAGGATGCTTCGGTGCACAGAATAACTGCAGATGTTGGTGTCTCAGAAGCAAGCTGTACCACTGCTCTAAGCTAACCTAAGTGATTCCTGGGCAATCTTTTCCCCATTTCCCAAACGTTAAATCCAAAATCTGCAAGTTTAGCTTCTTCTAAGAAAACTTGTTGACGATCTTTTTGTTTGTTTTGTTTGCTTTCCCTCAACGTTTTAAACAACCGCATTTTCAGCTACATTGCCTCCACAGGTTGGTATTATTGAGATCCATTCCTGGTTTCTTTTGGTTTTGTCCCTTGATTTTGTACTGTTGTTGTGTTGCTGAATTTTAGCATCTGTACCATCCCAGTGCTTGGAATGATGTTAAAAATACGCCAGCATACTTGCTTATGAAGTCTATTATTAAGGCACATTTGGGTCACAAAGGCCTACAGAATTCACCATGAACATGAAGAGGTCTACCTATGTTCATTGCATGACAAGCGGAACGTGGACACCTTCCCTCTTACCATGCACAATAAAAACTGCTAGGCACTTGTGGCGCTGACCTAATGAAAGGCATGAGCCAGTCCTGAAAACTGCAGGATTACAGAAAACTTACATCAGCTTTCCAGGTTAAAACCAGATATGCAGATTTGAAATTAACATGAATTTTGAGAAGATACTTCAAATATCAGAGCTCAAGTCAGATTAAGCCTTGCTACATTATTACCTTTTTAAATGCAAATTTAAATAGCAGGCTTGGTTTTTGTGGGGGTTTTTTTTTGTCTTTTTTTTTTTTTTTCCCCCATCCGTACTTCCTTTTCCTGAGACTTGGAAAATAAAGTTTTATATGTAGGAGCCATCTTCTATGAATGATGGAGTTTAACATCTGTAACCATTATATAGGCTATGCTTACATGAAAAGAAAGATGAGGCTTGGTGTACAAACCCCATGCAAATAAGCCCGTCATGTATCTGAAAACACGAGGAATTATCAGGCTGGTTTTTATGAAAGCGGACATTTGGGACGGGGATTTTGAGCTCCGAGTCGTCCGGAGAAGATTTGCCACTATCAGAACAGAACTACCCATCTTACAAGGTGTCGTGTCAAACTGTACAATAGATAAATCCTAACGTCTCCAGCTTAAGTCTGTGAGCAGTTGTATTTGTCAAGAGTAAACACTAAGCTTTGAATAGTCTGATTTTTATGAGCGTAACAGATTTAACTTTTGGGGCCTTTAATTAATCCCAGATATAAAGAGCTCCTAAAGTACCTCTTATTTACCACGACTTATCTTGCACCTGTTAACTAAAAGTGAAAAACATTACAAAAATATAAATTGTGCTTAAGATGATTTGTAGTTGAGAAAGTGTATAGCAATAAAGGAACTACTTTGAGAAGTCAAATGTATGCAGGCTTAAAACAATTCATTTTCCATGATGAGAAATACAGGAGGGCTTTCTGTCTAAGTTGCCAATAGAGACCATTTTAAAAACAGTCCTTTCTTACAGTTAACAGCGGTTAAAACTGCTTAGCTCACTTCAATTCCCATGGGATGAATATTGATGGAGTAATTACAGCTATAATCTTTTCAGTCTCTTTACAAAAGTTTTCTGCAGAATTATGTCATTAAGACAGAGCTTACTCTATGTAACATGCCTATAATTCAATTGTGCTTAATGGCTCCTACCTACTTCATCTTACCCTTTTTCCTTCATATTTGGAATTTCATTAATGTTTTGTCAGAGAAGTTTATGAAACAGGTGACAAACAGAACATCAAATTTGCATTTATATACATAAAGATACTGACTTAATGGTAAAACTACAGGAAACATCCAGATGTCTAAGAAGAATCAAAAAATCTTTTATTTAAAACTTTTTTATTTCAGTTCTGTGTCTTAAGCACTGTGACAAAGTCTATTTTTGAAATCTGTATAAGTCTGAAATATGTTCGCCCCTCACTCTGCCCTCCATCCAAATAAATGAGCCGATTTTATACATATCTACAATATTTAATAAAGATGTCCAAACCAGACAAAGTTTTTACAGAAATGTTTCAACACTTAAAATTAAGAACAACACTTAATTTGCTCTCACTCAGACAGCAAAATTAAATGGAAACATAAGAGTCTTCTGAAGAAAGAAAGCATTAAACCATTTCTCTCTGTGGGGAAAGGCAATATCATAATATGATGATTTAATAAAAACAACAGTTTAATTCAAGCAGTTAATAAGTAATTTCTTATTTAAATGCTGAAATGTTTGCCAGTTATAAGTGATCAATAATTAATCAGTACTTCTTTTGGAGTCTGAATTAGCTTTTTTATAATAAATGATTGGAAGTAACTCGATAGGGTTTTCTATAAATTCTTTGGCTACATACATTAAGGAAGTTAAATACACATGAAAGCTACTAGCTACAAGTACCTTACAAATAGTACACATTTACAGATTATACAGGGATCAGAGTGCAAATGTGATGAGAGTGTTATTTTCAAGGACTAAGTTACTTACAACATCCATTTTTACATCCCAAACAGACGGCTGTAGACAAATTGAGCTTCTTAGATTTAGAAATCTCTTTGCAGAGCTTCTTGACCACCTAAAAATGCGTCAAACTAAACTGCTGCTTCATGTAATAATGCTATCACTTTTAATTATGACATACAACCTGCAGTATCTGTCTTTTTTTTTTTCTTTTGAAGAACATAGAAGTTCAGAAACTGCTCATATAAAGAACAGAAATCATGGTTGTATCCCCATATGGAATTATAATGATTTTTGATTCTTCTATGTCTTTTGAAGATCTTTCGTAAGCAAAATATGAAAGCAGAAATCCATGTCCGTCCTCAGAAAAATCTTAGGTTTATGGTGATTTTGTGAAAATGCTTAATTTTCTTCTTGCAGCATTTCTTCTATTTCTTTATCCCAGTTTTCATCACGCTTTTCTGATTCTGTTACCACCTCATACTCTTGAAGCTCTTGTTGTAATTCCTTTTCCCAATCAGCCGTTTCTTCTACAAGAGATAAATGATGTGTAAGAATTAAACTGGTAATATAGAATGTTGCTTATTTATATAAAATTATATTAATTTGCACTAAAAGCCCCTAACCTTACGGACAATTCTCTTCAAAAACTAAAGAAACTTCAAGATCAGAAATTTCATTTTCTTACTGACCACAGATAGGAATTAATTAATATGCAAGTCTATATTCCTATGTGCATACTACAATAAAGATATCAAAAGCAAATATGCAGCTTAGTCATAACAAATGTCCCTTTGCAAGCTCGTGTCCTACAGTCTTTCAGTCTACTATCAACTGAATCTCCCTTTGTACTTGTAAATCTCCTGAAAAAAATGAAGTTCATAAGTTTTTTGAATCATAGAATCATTTAGGTTAGAAAAGACCTTTAAGATCATCAAGTCCAACCGTTAACCTAACCATGCCATATCCCACCAACTAACCATGGCCCTAAGCCCCTCGTCTGCCCATCTTTTAAATACCTCCAGGGATGGGGACTCGACCACTTCCCTGGGCAGCCCATTCCAATGCTTGACAACCCTTTCATTGAAAAAGTTTTTCCTAATGTCCAACCTAAACCTCCCCTGGTACAACTTCACACCATTTCCCCTTGTCCTATCACCCCGTTACCAGGGAGAAGACGCTGACCCCCACCTCTATGAAAGAAAAAAAATAATTTAAGATCAAATACTGTGGATAATTTAAAAAAAGAAGCAGGTATTCTCCTCACTGATATTTGTAGCTAGGTCAGCTCATTTAATCAGGGTTAAAGGTAATCATATTTCATACTTCAGGGCAAAAAATGTTTCAGATAATTAGCTCTACCTATCGTATGCAAGAGTATGGGGGAGGAGATGGGTGATGTGTTACATGTTAGGTAGTACTTCAGCCTAGATAGGCAGGTACATAATTCCATAGTCCCAGGTCGGTAAGGCCAGCTGAGATTTCTCTGAACAAATTACTCATTAATGACTTATTGAAATACTTCCATCACAAAGCTAGATGCAAGGAACCGATACTACTTTTAAGAACTCCTCAAGCTTGGCTATGTATGGGAAAAAATAACCATTTCAGAAAACAAGGATTCAGCAACATCCAAAATATGTTGTAAGATGAATTATGAAAATTGTGTTATGATAAGCATCTACATTTATACAAGTGTCTTCATACCATGACAATCCATTATGCATGGCCAGAGTTACATCATCACAGATTGGCTTTTTGCTTTTTACACTGATATGGGTTCTTCTGAGTTAAGTATAAGCCCCGCTTTATTTCTTCTCATCATTCTCAAAGCTATTTGTTAAATTGTAACTGTTCCAAATGCATGTAAACCTTTTACAGGAGAGGCATCTGCAAGCTCACGGTTTGGTGCAAATACTGCCTTTTTAGCTGGTATCACAAGAAGAAAACGTAGCCTGACTTCTGAATACTGTACTTTACCCACAAGGATATCAATTAAAGAAAGAAAAATTCATACACATAAGGACCAATAAAAGAGAAGGCAGGGAAAGGAGGAGGCAGACAGAAAAAGATATTCCACTGTCACTTTCATAAATGAGCCACCTAAAAATTGTTAGGTTCTTTGGATTTAAACTCCTCACAGCTAACATTCTGTATAAGACATGGTTTGACTGTCATAAGAATTACCATTTCTGCAATATTTCATTGCAGGTCATTACATATACTTCGAAAAACGGTCAGGAATCTACTGTCTGAAATTTAATTACAATTTTTTTTTTAAATCAACCTATCTTAGAATTACTGTATCTAAGACAGAGAAGGTTTACCTTCTACTACTGAAGTCTCTTCTCTCTTTTTGTCTAGCACCAGTTGTTCCATTTCTTTTCTTAGGTCTTCCTGATTCAGATTACAGGCATCAAAAGCATCACTCACAAATTCTGACACACCTGGACTTGTGGAAATCTCTTCATCTTCCTGCAGTAAGATAGTTTTGTATAAGCTTATCCAAAAAAGGGAAAAAAATGTCACCAATACATACTTCCACTCATGTGACTGACTGCCTTTTAGATAGAGTCAGTGAAAAGACAAACCAAATGCATTAGTCTGACAACTATTTTTCTTTACGGGCTATTTTTCTTTAAGAGTATTTTTGTACAGACAAAAACATTAGTTATACTGAAAATGATCTGCTTTCATCCTAGGCTCCTTTTTGTGTTCTCTTAACGACTTTAATTCTGGTTTTGTCATCTTCAGAAACAACAATAAACTCATAAGCAGTTTAGAACAGTTCCTAAGACTAATATTACATTCTGACCAAAATTCAGTAACAGTTTTCTACACACGAGTAAGATTGAGAGAGGACTGTTCTTTGGAAATCTTTCTAGCTTAATTTAGTCCACTGCATATTATTGGCAAGTGAATGCACAGCTCTGCTTCTGCCAAGAGCGTTCTCTGGCACTGATTTTACAATCCAGAAACGAACAAGGGTCATTATGTGTCTAAGTTAAAGGTTTTTGCAGTATTAAGCAAAACTCTTCCTGTTGTTGCAATAAAATAATGTTGCTATTGCAACGTATCATTTAGAGTTCCAATATTTAGGCCTGACACCTGCTGAAGAGTTGGACAGAACATGACACAGGAATATATTTTTACGAATTTATCCCTCATGTCTAAATACAGTGCAAACCTACTCCAAACATTTGGGAAATGTCACTCTTCAGAGTAAAACCACATTTTATTATAATATGCAGGATACTAATGAAGGTATCCTTCAGATAAACTACTTTTTTTTCTACTGAAAATGAGTTCAAAGTTTATGCACAGCAGAACAGCAGGAGGTTAGGACTGTCAGATACTATATTACGGTTTCAGAGCACAACTTACTCAAAAAGGAGGTATAATTACTTATTAAGTAACAGTTTCACATGCTAAATACCAGAAAAAATATAACAGCTTTTTTACCTCTTGAGATTTTATTTGAGGCTTTATTGTAACAGGCGGTGTTTTTGGCCGTACTGTTTCTATCAAGAGGGAAAATAAAAGGTAGATTACATTTAAATATATAAAAGACTTCATTTAATCTGCATAGCTATTAAATGTACAAGGAAATACTGTATTTTAAGTTTTAAGGAATCCTCGTGGTTAAAGGTTGAATTCAGCCATAGGTGAAGCATTTGCAATAACAAAATGGGAGAGAAGCAATTTTCTATTCTTAAGTAAGGCAAATTTAGGAAACCATTTCCTCATTATGACTCCAAAGTTAAATCACAGGAACCCTCTGCCCCTCAAAACCATCCAAAGAACTACGTAAATAGGAACAGTTGGGAATCTGAAAGAAAGTCTTTTATAAAGCATTTGAAGACTGCACCACAAGTCACAAGACCTTTAAAGTTATAAAGGTGTAGACTTCGTCATGAAATCCAGTTAATATCCATCATAGAAGTTCCCAAACTCCCCTGGTTGGGTACTACTACTGACACAGGCACTAGTTGGCTCTTGAGTATACCAGACTACATCTGCACACACACCCGTAAATGCACACGAGTGCTCCGCAGCCTTACCTTCTTTCACACAGGCAAAGGAAGTCACTGAAAAACATAAACCCTAGAAGCTGTTCCCAATTTCCTAAGAAAACTCATTGTGCATTCTGTATTTAGTAGCATGGTGCTAGGAAGACAAGGATTCTTTACAAGCAAGGACAGATACTTTTTTTCTTGGCAGGTAAAGGAACACCCCAGCCTTCCTCCGCATGCAACTAGCAAGGTAGAGGAGTCACGATAGAGAGCCAGGTGGCTGCAAGAACAATTAACATATTGGGCAGGTTGTGGTAGTGATGGAGTGCTTGCTTAGGAGTTCTATTTGTTTAAACATGCAAAGCAGCTCTGAGCTTGCAGCTCTGCTTACTGCAGCATGCCCAGGTGGACCCTTCCCACTTACTCAGCAATTTCTGAAGGGGGAATTTTTTTCAGGTTTAATTTTTAAAATTGAGATCAGTTCTAATTAGAACAATCCCTTAATTGGTAGCTGTCACTGCTTTCCCAGCTCATCTACTCAATGCCCACTGCGCTGTCCCGCCCTCTCTCTCTTCCCCTTCCCAGTCTTCAAAGGATCTGTTACTGCAGTCACCACCACAGCCAAAGAGGCTCCAGCACTCCCTGCTCAGGGCGGCTGTAGAGCACCACGCTAACTCGAGTCGCAGTTCAGCACCGAGTGCCCAAAGCACTGCGCAAGAGGTGCCTCAAGCTCCATCTGCTGCTCTCATGCAGAAGTGGCACAGCAGCTCTGCACTGGGCCATGCACCAGTCTGCGGTGACTGGTGTACCAGTAGCACTGTTCTGGATCTACTGGCCTGGCATCATCTCTTCCACTGCTGATACGCTCTCTGCCCCTGAAGTAACTTCACTCACGAGTAAACAGTTAGTAATAGGCGGAGAAGGACTAAAACTTGGGATTTTGTTACAGGTCTTACATAGTCTCTACACTACAACATGGACCGTCTTCCATTTGTCCCTTTTTTCCTTTCACATCAACCATGCTAATTTAACTTTGCGAAAACACCAGGTAAGGATGAGACAGAGATAAAAATGGAAGGCAATTAATTCTATTTTATAGACATCAGTCAGCTTTAAGAAGAAACTCTGAACATTATGAAGAGTTACCAACAGGCAATTACTCCCAGTTTTAGCCTCCAATTAGGGAATCTAACCTTCAAAAAGGTTTTTAAATCAAAAATAACACAGATGATTCAGAGCTTCCCAAATCTATGTAATTTTCGAATCAAACAAGACATGTGTTTACTACAGTCTGGTAAATGTATGCTTGCCATTACAGAATATACAGTCATTAGGACAGTAAATTTATCTGCATATCCTATACTAGTCTTCTGAATTGTATGAGATTTGCAACAAGCCAAAAAGACAGTGCTTTTTTTTTCTTTTTTTTCTTTTTTTTTTTTGTCTAATGAAGACATGGGTTTTTTTTCAGTCACAGTGGTAATTTTACTAGAATAACTCTTTGGCTACTATCCAGCAGCTCTCTCTTTGACTGGCAATTTCCAAGATTTTGGATGACTGAAAGGTAACATTTTTGTTGTTCAACAGGATCAGGTGCCATCTCTCCTGTAGAGCTGAGACACTTCAATTAAAACAGCCATAGTTTGCCAAATGTGAGTATTGTATTGGTTAAAAAAAAAAAAAAAAAAAAAAAAAAGAGGTTATGCTGCCCTAGGAACTTACAGTTGAAGACTGCCCATTTAACTACAAATTTAGCTTGCATAAAGGAAACCTTCAGCACTGAAATTAACAAGAGAGTAACTTCTATTTGATTAACCAATTAGCCACAACAGTGACAGCATTCTTTTTTTTCTGAAATTGGTTTACTGAAGCAATGATACATAGAAACAGAAATCAAATAAAAATCTCAGTGGAAAGGGGAAGCATACTGATAGTAAACAGACTTCACAGAGAATATGCTTGTAAACAACAATGAAGAAAATATCTTTTGGCAGAATTTCTGTTTCTAAGCTTTCCAAATGCAACCTTTTCCTCTGTACAAAGGGCTAAATGCAGTAGCAAATGAAAGGATCCAATACTCAAAGATCTATTGTGAGGCACCACAGAAACCAGGTAAGACAGTCACTACTCTTCAATAGTCAAGAATATAATACTATCAGTTGGTGTAATAAAAACCCCAGAGGAACAGAAATGCAAAAAAAATTAAAAAAAAAAATCACAACAATAAAGAAATCCAAGAAAGAAAGAAAATTAGATAAATTCATTTAGATGCCAGTTAGGTGCAAAGGTTAACATAATCATGACAATCCCAGCGATTTCCTGAGGTGATGGCACCTGTACAGGGTAACAGTAAATCCAATTTGCTCACAGAAAATGACAAAAATGGGAGCTGATATGGTGGGAGCATAGAAGTGATAGGACATGAACAGGTAAGTAGGAAACAAGCCTAAATACAGTCTACACTGAAAGGTAAAGACAAAAGCTTTCTGTTATGATGAAAGAGTTAGTGTAGGACATTTAAGAGTAGTCCTTTTACACAAGGAAAAAAAATTAAGTCTCAGCTTCCACAAAACTGATCAGTTGTTTCTCCACATAATCACATTTCCTCTATTGCTCTTCTGTTTCTACAGCGAGAAAAGAACATGCTTACAGAACTATAAGAACAGTAGGGAGATCCACTATCATGTAAGCTGAACTTCATTTTTTTTTCTAACCTGTAAATATTTTAAATTAAAGGTACAGAAAAAAACCCCAAACACAAGTTCTGTACTCCTTTGCTTAAAGCTGTCTTCTGAGCAGTACTGAGCAAAAGAATTACATCATTACAGTAAACAGAAATCACGTTGGGCTGTTTCTATACTGTCTTTCTCAATCTTCCCAGGGAGGGAACCCTGGTCCCCACAGTCCACTGGTATGCGCTGGCAATAGTTACTCTCCTCAAAGGCGAGCATACTCTGGAGGGCACGTGGCCTGTGGTCACACTGCACAGATTTGGCCTAGATCTCTTCTGTGCTCCACGTAATTATGCTCAAGTGAGGCCATGATTTTTTTTTAAGCTTACAAAGCCTGAAATAGCATGAGTAGTGTTTCTGTGATTGACAGCACGCTGTTCAACATTGGGACATGCTGCAAGGTTTGACTGTACATTGGGCATTGGGAGAGCAGACAACTGTCCCAGATAAAAGCAGTCAGAATTGGTGCCTGCTGGTCTGAAGTATATTCTGGAGTGACCTGCCCTGTCAGCACTGCTTAGATTTCAATCCGGAGAAAACAACTTTGTTCATTCTAGGTGGGGACCTTGCCTATGCTAACACATGCGCGCCCTGAACAGAACCTATGAGAAACAGACTGAGACAAACTGACAGCAAAGGCACGCACACACAAAAATGCTTAGGGAAACTACTACAGTCCTTTTTGAAAAGGTATCTTCTATGCAACATGCAAGCCCGGCTCTGTAATTCCTCTTGTAACCTCCCCTTCACCCCAAGGTTCAACTGCCTCTGTCCAAGAAGCCCAGCTGAGTAGCCCAAGCTCAGACTATGCAGAAAATTACCAAGTTGTGCAAAAGAGCTGTGAGAGAGTCTGCAAAAAGTTAAGAAAGGTGAAAATTAGAAACTGAGGTAGGATTAGAGAGATAGGATCATTAGCAGTGCAAGGACTCAAGAGGAAAAACACCAATATGGAAAGATATTCTATCCAAAAAGCAGTGGGGGAAAAGAAGTTAACTTGGCAGTGATCAGCTGGTTGTCAGTCAGGCCAAGCAGTGTCAACAGGACATCAGCATTAACAGATTTCACAGATGATGACAATTTACTGGTGTTGGGGCTATGAGAATCTGTTCCAAGGTGCAGTGAAGGCTTTCTCCTGCTTAATGCCTACCCAGCCTGCCAAGATCCTTCGGGTGTCTTATCAGGGGTGGTGAGCATACATAGCTTAAGCTAAGATTTAATAAGCTGCTAGTTATCTTTTGTGTCTTAGCCAGTTAACTGCTTTATACTCTTTAAGCTGCATATATTCCTGCTTGCAGAATTGGTTTGCATGCAGACAAAGATGCCCAATGGTTCATAACAGGTTCAGTAACAATAATCTGTACAAACTGATCGAGATGCCTACACTGAAGTGGCTTTTTTATCTCAAGGTTGAATCCCAGGTAGCCTCCTGGTTCCCATCTTCCTCCATTTCTATGATACACCATGTGCCTTTCCACGTCCTGCATGTGTCTCCGCCTCCATGACCAGAGTAATTCCACCCCCATACCACTAACTTTGTTTGGCCTAACGCCTAAGCAAAAGCCAAGAGCAAACCAAATGCCAGCTGGCTGGGTTGGCTAGTACCTGTTGTCTTCTCAGGTGAACAAAAGGTACCTCCTACTTCTTTCTGACAAGACAAAAAAGCACACCAGAGACCACTAGTGATCTTGAGCTTTTAAAAATTAAGTACAAAATTTAATCTCTTCAGATTTCCACATTCCTGACGAAGTTGGCTGAAATTGGAAAACAGCTTAAAAGCACTAAGGAGCCCCCTCTTCCCCTGTCTCAACAAACAGACCAAGTATGATGAGAGAAGCTCTGATTCCGTAGGAAATCCAGGATAAAAATTCAGTGCCTTCTGATGTATACAGTCAGTATGCATGACACTTACTTAATGAGCTGTCCTAAAACAAATCCTTTCCATACCTTTCAGTTGACTATCCTCTTCTCTGCCTTTGTTCTCTTCTTTTCCTACTGCTTGCTGTTGAGCTGCAAGTGCGGTGAGTTGTGCAGACTGTTTAATTAGGGACACCCTGTAGAAATAATTTCTCCAGAACACCTCCTCCTTCACACTAGAGAGAACAAACAGATTTTGATTACTACATTTGGAAATATGGTTCCTTTTACCATCGAGCAACACAATAAAATGAAATATGCAGAGGGAAGGAGCAGGCATAGCTGCCTTCTAAGTAAAAACTTAGAAATTTGTGATATTAACACAATTTTTAAAAATCCATCATTATAGAAGTTCTTGATCTCTTACAAGACAGTTATAATGGACTTGAAATAACAATAAAAAATAATAATTTAGAAAAATCTTAACAGCATGCAGCAATACATAATTTGGAACAATATTATGCTGTTCCATCTCTCTTGCCAAATTATATAAACAAACCCAACAAGCTAAATAATCCTGTTCACTTAATTTACTCTCTAAAACCAACATTCTATTATTGTCAAACTGTATTTGTCTACATTTTCCTTAGACCTCAGGTAGAACTTAGACCTCAGGTAGAACTAGAACATCTTTGATATACAGGCAAAAGCCATTCCTAGTGTGCTGGTTTTGGCTGGGCTAGAGTTAATTTTCTTTATCATAGCTAGTGTGGGGCTGTGGTTTGGACTTGTGCTGAAAACAGCGTTGATAACCCAGGGATGTTTTTGTTACTGCTGAGCAGGGCTTACACAGAGTCAAGGCCTTTTCTGCTCCTCACCTCACCCCACCCCACCAGCGAGGAGGCTGGGGGTGCACAAGAGGCTGGGAGGGGGCACAGCCAGAACAACTGACCCCAACTGACTACAGGGGTATTCCACACCATATGATGTCATGCTCAGCACATAAAGCTGGGGGAAGAAGAAGGAAGGGGGGGACGTTCAGAGTGATGGAGTTTGTTTACCCAAGTCACCGTCATGCGTGATGGAGCCCTGCGGTCCTGGAGATGGCTGAGCACCTGCCTGCCCATGGGAAGCAGGGAATTAATTCCTTGGTTTGCTTTGCTTGTGGGGCTTTTGCTTTCCCTATTAAACTGTCTTTATCTCAACCCATGAGTTTTCTCACTTTTACTCTTCTGATTCTCTCCCCCATTCCACCAGGGGGGAGTGAGCGAGCGGCTGTGTGGGGATTAGCTGCTGGATGGGTTTGAACCATGACACCTAGTTTGCAGCAGAACTATTTCACTGTATTCACACCTTTCAGCATGTCCGCAGGACCTTCAGTAACTAGAAACTGCCGTCTCTGAAATGACCAGATCTGATAAGTGGGAGACTCCTATTTCTTAGGTAACACTTCCCCCTGATAATCCTCCAGCAAGCAAGAAAAGAGCCAACTTTAACCCAGGGGGAAGAGAAGCCAGAAATGGCAAGGCCTGTGGGGAGGAATCTGTGGGGGTCAAGAAAAAGAGAGAGAGTGAAGTTACCCTTCCCACCCAATTCAGGCAAACAGTGACTACTGAAATGAAGAACAGGGGAAAAAAGCTATTAAGCAATGGGGTAGGATAGGCAAGGATAGCATGACTAGAGCTTGAAGACAAGAGACAGCTCTGATAAAGACCTGGTATGGGCAGAGCTTTAGGACTGACAGCAACAAAAAAACAGCAGGGAAGGGGGTAAATAAAATAAGGAGCTGGGAAGTCTTATAAAAGGAGGAGATTTAAGACAGAAAAGAGCACAAAGGAAGATGTTTTCTTTCCTGTTTCCATCCTCAGACAAGGATTGGGAACTCCTACTTAACAAGAATGTTGACCTATGAAACAAGCTAAGGATCAGACTCTGGGACTGGGCAAGGAAGGAAAACAGCACTTGATCCCAGCTTTATTCCAGAAGCCGTACTGGAGCAGGCCATAACTGCTGGGACAAAGACCTTATGAATCTTTCAGTTAGGTCCACTAGAAGGAAGGCAGTCACAACACAGAGCTGTTCCTATTGCCTATTTGAAACCAGTTTTGCTTGCTTGCATTGCTGCTGTTTTGTGATGCATTCTTTTAACCATTTCTCCCTGGGTCCTCTGACTATCTCTAATAACCTTTTCAGGGTGTCAGTGACACCAATAGATCTGAACATTTTTGTTGCTGCATTTACCTCTCCTTGGGAAGAAGATTTTAAATTGAAAATTGAAATGAATTAATTTAGCACACTGGAATAAGGCCTCTCCCATGCTTAAGTCAACAGGTCCTTATTAGTTCTGAACGTCTAACAGATCTACTTCTGTTCTTTAATTGCTAAATCACAACGTGCAGGCAACATTCCACATATTCAAAATTAGCGGATATAAAATACATATAGATGAAGTACATAAAGAAAGAATTGAAGGAGATGAAAAGAAAAAGGTGTAATTTATGAATGTTTACAGAGACATTAAAAGTACAACCATACATAGTTACCAGCGGAAACTACTTACTGTTTGGGAACGAGATCAAACCTCATCCTATTCAGAAGTTCATCTTCTTGTAACATCACCATTGCAACTGGGTACATTTGATCAAAGTCAAAATTAAACTGCACACCTGCTGGAGGATCCCGCAGAAAATTTCGTTTATCCTTTGAAGAACGTATTTATAGTCATTAACTGATATTAGAAAAAGGGAATAATATTTCACACACAAGACTAGCAAAGCAATCCCACTTCCCATGTAATTCTCTCATACCATAAAGCTGTAAAGCCTTTTTAAAAAAAAAAAAAAAAATATCTTATTGGGGATCTACTGTGGCTCAAGCTGATAATGAAAGAACTATTTACCCTTGGACATGGTCAGTGCAGTGACAGAGACATTAAAAAATATATTGAAAATACGTAATTTAATAATGCCAGCCAAACTTACTTTGAGGAAAAAAAGGAAGTTTCAGCCTTTCCAACAGGAAAAATTTCACATCTTACAGGAAACTAAATACTTACTGCTGATAAGGCCAGTATTTGTTGTTGAATTGTCTCTTCTTCATTGCTGTCTACCCATGGAGGCACTGCTGCTTCTGTTATTGAAAGGAGGAAAATAATTGCACGTGTATTACTTTAAAAAAAAAAAACACAAACAAACAAAAAAACAAAAAACCAAACCAGAACTGAAAAAAACCCATAACATCTTGCATAAAGTAACATATAATGTCACACAAACAAACAAAAAAACAAAAAACCAAACAAAAAACCAAACCAAAACTGAAAAAAAACCCGTAACATCTTGCATAAAGTAACATATAATGTCACAAAAATAAGCAGACTTACATCAGTAAGCCAATTCATTGTTCCTTTTTCCTAAACTAAGCTCACAGCCTAAGGAAGAAATTCCAGGAATGGATCTTTGCTTATCAGAGGTAAAAAAAAAAAAAAAGTCGCTGATTTCTGTTATTGTAAAACTAAAACTGCGGGGATTTCTTTGCAGTCTGTTCAGTCAGAACTTGGTGCCTCTTAGTTTAGTTACTGAAATAGTGCTGTATAACTGGTTAAGCTGCCTGCAAACGTAAATGTTTAGATTCACTTTAAACATGTAAACTTTGTCTAAATTAAATTTTCAAAATAATTTACTATTATATTAATTTTCTAACACCCTGAAGACACCAATTCTTTAATGATGAAGAAAATAAGTTAGAAATTTGTTATAAGTTACAACATGTTATATACTGAATAAGCATATGCAAGTTCAGCTGATTTATATATTTACACAGATAGTTCCAAAATAGTTTTGTAGGCTGTACATAGAGGAAAATAATCTATTGTAGATGTATAGAAATCTATTAATCTCTTCACTGTCAACGCAAATTCAGCCGACAGAGTCATTATGATGCATCTGTAACAGTTAACAAATAATTTTTGTGCATGTAAAACTAACAATGCCAATTTGCCTATGCACCTGGCATCAGCAAGATCTTTCACCCACGTGGAAGCACATCTGATGCTAGCACTTCTTTCAGTCAGGCCATCTGTTACTCCTTCTTCTGTCAACCTAGCTATCTATTTTCACAAAACTTGCAGAAATATAGTAACAGATGCCAAAATTTACTAACGGAGACAAAAAGATAGAAACATAGACAACGCGATCACGTAAGCAGTCTTGCGAGAAGAAACCAGACTAACATACTAACTACAGACAGTATGAAAAATTTTAACACAATCCATTTAGAACCAGCTCATTTTCAAGATTAACAATAGAGCCGCTAATTATTCAAACTGTCAGAAATTATTGCACTCGGGTAACACATTAGAAGGGATAAAAGCCAATGATGAAACGCAACATAGAAAAAAACCTGTGCTTATTTTAAAGTCTCAAATAGATCCGCTGATGTCAATAGCACACGGGTGGATAACTCAAAAGATTTAGATCACAGATAATTATAAAGCAAATGACTTACAGGAAAGCAAAAGAGCAATTACGCCTTTTGATGTAAGCAGAGCAACTCCTACAGCGAAACTAATTGAATACTGTAGTGCAAACCCTAACCCGTGTTTTTCATTTCATTACGAAAACGTTACATAATTGCTAAAGCTCAGAAGAAAGGTAATCAGCGTGCCTGTTTTCAATAAATACATAGGCTTAAGATTCAAAACAATAAAAGAACAGCTTTGCTAGCACAGTGATCTTTTGAGTTAATTTCATAAAGCTGAATTTGGCTAAAAAAGCAAATCTAAACCAACTAGATAATGTAACACCTAACCTCACTTAAAAATGTCACCTTCCTATTCTACAATATGTTAAGTTTGCCATAATGTGTTTCATTAAACAGAGTTTTGACAGATTACATATAGATATAGCTCAATTACTCAGTTTCCAGCAAGTTTTAGCTTATGTAATGTTAAACACTACCATAAAAAAGCATACATTACCTGATTTTTTTGTTTGCTGCTCTTGGACAAATTTTTTCTGTTCCTTCTGAAAATCTCCAATAATTGTCTACAATAAAAATTAGGGAACCATAGTTAAAAAAAAAAAAAAAGAAAAATCACTTTTGTTTCAGACTCAGTCTGAAAGTGCTTTCAAATACACTGCAGTATCATATTCTTATATCCCTGGTGGCCCTTTTTGTAAGTTAATTAAAGGCGTTTCATGTAAATCATACATTCTTCGTTACTGAAACATTTGATTTTGCCTTTAAATGTTTAAACTATTGTGTATGCTTTCAAAATTATATTTATAGTTTTAGCAAATTCAGAGGACAAAAAAAAAGGAGGAAAATCCTAGCATATAAGTTGAACATCAGCGTACTACACATATACACTTACTGTCTTGCCATATCAAATACAGACAACAATGACTACCTGTTTAGACCTATTTAAACACGTTTTTAAAGTATTAAACACTTAAAGATACCTTTGGCCTTACAATAAGTTTCAGGAGTTGCCTAGGAAATATATCCATTAACAATTTTACAAGTCCAATTTATTGTAAGTATTATTTTCAGAATGTCTGCTTGGCTGAAGTAAAATAATTTCTCCATTTATATTGCGGAGAAATTTTCATCAAAAAAAAATGTGTTCAGAAATCTCCTGTACTGAATTTAGAATTAAAATATGGAGAATGGTCTCAGAAGCTGGTGTGGCATAATCCAGAAGTAACAATGCAAATGTTCTGTAGTTGAAAGCAGAGGCAAAAAACCATGATGCTAGAACTGAATACTTAGACCACTCGCAAAATACAAAATTTAAGCAGTGAGGTCTATGGCTTAACAAGTTGCCAAAAAACATGCAAGCCTTCAAGATAAAGCCTGATTAATTCCTATAATTTATTTTCCTTCAACAACCCCACATTTCTATTTAAGATTAACAGCAGTGAGAGAATTACTGTAGGGCCTGTTATACAAATAGATCATTGTGGTTCCACCTGGTTGTAAGTTACATGGATTTTTGGTATTTATGGAATAAAATAATTTATATGGTGTAAGACAAAAGCTTTACAATGAGACAGATATAATCTGTTTCTCCCCTATGTAAACTTGTTAGTCAAAACAGGGAATTCCTATTACTCTAAGGCATTCACAGAAAAAAAGAAAATGGTATTTTAGGCATAGAATACGCTGCAGGTACTTAGCTACAGTTTCTTATGAGCATTATTATTTGTGTATTAAATTACCAAATAACTGCCTTACTCGAGTTTTCCTTTTTGATGTGGATCGAAATTACGTTAGACTAATATACTGTAGCAGGAAATATAACTCTGCTATTATATATAGACAGTTGTCACTAAAAAGTCGATGAAATCTGGAGACAAAATTTGCATCATAACAGAAATTTAGAAGTGTCATTTGATGATTAATTTGGAAGACAATATGAAAACTAATTATAACAAGAAATTGAAATTCACTGTATTTAAAACAAACAAACCAACGCTTCAGTTCCCCTGAAGGGGTGTTTGAGAGTCAGGAGCTGGAGGAGGGGTCTGGCTGCATCTCCCATGTCTGACACTCCTGGATGCACAGTCCCACTACAGCTGGGTTGGTTTTGGCCAGTTCCCCTTCCCGGCTACCCTTACTAAAAAACACAGAACACTAGGGAAGACCGGGGTGGGGGGAGGAAGAACAGGACAACAGTAAGCTGTTCCGTTAACTCACTGGGTCTTATGAAACCACATCTGTATAACTCTAGGGTCACAGTATAAAATATCCACAAAGCAGGCCCAATTCTGAACCTTGGTTCAGAGATGCATTTAAGACACAGGCTAAGGCATTCCTCTTTCCACCTAAATAAACTGGGGGAAAAAATCCAACCCACGCATTTCCCAGACATCCCCCAACTGCCTGTCTTTACTAACTCTTCCAACCTTTCCTCCTATGTCAGCGTTTTTCACATTTTCTTCTGGTCTTTCTCCAGTGTATCTACATCCTGAAGGAATGGAACACAGGTGCAGTACTGAGCAAGGCAGAGTGGACATTTTTTTGGCGTGTCTACCCTAAACAAATATTTCAGCCACATCATTTATCATGACAGGAGATACCTGCTCTTGAAATACATAATTGCTAAAGCCAGCTTAAAGAAACGTTATCACATCACAGTAACAGTAAGCAAGCAGATCTTTCAGATCAATTATCTAGAAATAAGTTACCTTATCAATGATGCTGTCGATTTTTCCTTCTTCTACAGACTTCTTTATCGTATGTGCTGTTTCAGCAACAGATTCAGATATCTTTTTTGTAGCAGCAGTGGCAAAATTGAAGAGGTAACCTTTCACAGATGAGAAGAGAAAGAGCTGAAAAAAGATCTCTTTACATCCAGTTCTCTTACTAGATTTTCCTTTCTCTTTAGACAGTTGGTTACCTACTTGGAAACTTCTTCAAATTCATTTAACCCAGCTTCTGGCCTACAAAGAACTCCTAAAATCCTATTTATCCTTTTCTAGTTTATATTCTTTAGTGATGATGATCAAGCTGTATGTTTGATCACAACTTTCTGTAAATCAAATTTTTATAAATGAACCTTGTTTACTAAATCAAACATTCCTAATGGTCCTTGAAATATTGCTTTCCAATTAATTTTCTGAAGTAATGTGTCTTTCCTAATCTCATTTAAGTATTTTGGAAACATTAAGCAATAAAGTATCTTCACCAACAGTATTAAAACATAATTACATTAAGAAAAACAACATGCACAATAAAGTCTCATGAAGTATGGCAGCAAATGCATGAAAAATTTTGGGCAAGTAACACTTGAGGTTCCTTCAAAAGTCTTAAAATAGAACCTTGCTCTTGATTTTTGCCCTTTGCTATTTTGCCTTGTCGTCTTCTTTTTAACTCCGTGAGAAACACCATGGCCCTGTTTGCTTGTTTCTCTGAACATGTTCAGTGTCAGAACAGCAGTAACAAATATTTTCAAAGACTAGCATTTTTTGTATTAGCAGTGCTGAAGTGAAGAAAGGTGGCAGGGAAAGAACTATGTAGCATGGAGAGTTGCCTTGTTTTGTTCATTTTTAATTAAGGAGAACAAACTTGCAAGCAGCAAGATGTGTATTGCAAGCCTTCAGAAGCATTAAATACCACTTTATTGACAAAGGATCTTAAAATAACATTGGTATTGTTTGTTTCTCAGATAATGACATGATGTCACAAGCACTACTACATTTTAACAGGTGTATTATGACTGTAATATCACAACTACAGTATATGCAATGATATAATGTCAGTAAGTGCCATAGTAAATATAATAATTACAGAGGGTAGGTAGATTGGAGCACTGGGCGATTTAACAAGAACAAATGCCAGATGCTGCACCTGGGACAGTCACACCAGGCACAAGTATAAATTGGGAGAGGAGTGGCTGGAGAGCAGCCCTGCAGAAAGGGATCTGGGGGTGCTGGTCAGCAGCAGGCTCAATAGGAGCCAGCAGTGAGCCCTGGCAGCCAAGAGGGCAAACCCCATCCTAGGGTGCAAACACAGCACAGCCAGCCGGGCAAAAGAGGTGATTGTCCCACTGCATTCAGTGTTGGGGCAGCCTCACTAAGTACTGTGTGCAGTTCCGGGCCCCACAATTTAAGAAGGGTGTGAAGGTCCTTGAACGTGTCCAGAAGAGGGCAGCAAAGCTGGTGAAAGGGCTGGAAGGCACGTCCTGTGAGGGGCACCTGAAGACTCTGGGGTTGTCTGGTTTGGAGAAAAGGAGGCTGAGGGGGGACCTCGTTTTGTCACTGCTGCTACTCCCTACCGGCTTTTATTGGTCATTTTATACAGCCCCAGAAACCTTCTCACGTGCAATTTTTTCAGCTGTAAAAGGTGCTGAAACATTTGCTGTCCAGTGACATTTTTGTATTGTCAGGCAAAGTGGTTTTGGCCAGTCCTGGAACCAGTGTGAAGAACAAAACACTTTTTATTTCCATTAAAGGGCCAATATTCTTCTGAACCGAGGTTCTCATAAAACCTCAGTAAGAGGTGGTACTCAGCCTTAGAAAAATAGAATCAGTGGTGGAAAAGCAACACTTTCACTTTCAAATGACAAAGGTTTCCCTCCCTCTTACAACTCTATGCCTGTATGAAGAATATGTATCTAGCAATATTTCTATTATTAGTTCACATTGACAAACTCTCCTAACCTTTGTAATGATGTGATAATGAGCAAAAAAAAAAAATAAAAAAAAAATGTATGTAAGGCTTCAGTTTTACCAGTAAAATTCTTTATGTGCTAGGGGGGAGTCTTTCCACACAGCTACCCTGGTTGTTAGTCATGCAGATGTTTCTAGAGTAATCATGTGTTACAACAGTGATGTTCAAATCCTTACAAAAAAGCCCTTCCACCACTATCTTCTCTGGTGTCACAGACAATGAATCCATGGATCACTAATCCAAATTTTCACTTCCAGAGCAAATCATATCTGTAACAGTCAATACTTATTCTTCCCGAAAATTCAAAGTCTTTTTCCCTTCCTGGACAATCAGAGTGACTACTAGATTAGGATCAATTTACAACAACCAGACAAATATCTGACCAAACTACACAGATAATTTGCAGCAGCTCGGACAGCTCAAGGCAAAGCACAGTAAAGAACCATCTCAGACTAACTTTTCCAATGACATTGGTCCAGCGTTTCAGAGCACCAATAAGAAAACACTTTAGCAACAAGCATGGAGCTGTACTTTGGATTACTTGTATCTAAGAATCTACTATAGTAAAGCAGAATTCTTACCTATAGCAAATTACAGCCTTGCCTCATTACAGATGAGTTCAACAATCAAACCCCATTACTTTCCTATGAAAAAGTCACAGAAACCCCACACCAATTCATAAAGTACACTATTCTGTATGTATACATCACTTCCCCCACAGTGACAACAGAACAGATACTTAAAAGAAATGCTATTCATTTAGTAGCAACTCTGAAAAAGATAACTGACAGAACATTTTCAGCCATTTATTTGCTTCATATTTTAAATATGCAAGTTCTTTAAATTTTTTTTTTCTCCAGTGAGGCAACATCCTTTAACAGTGCACAGAACTGTTAGCAACTTAATCAAGTATTTCTCATTGTCAGTAACTGCTATGTAAAAAGAATCTCACAAATGCAGAAAAATGAAGATGACGTTAGAGAATTATGTCACTTCCAAACTTTCAGCTTTAGCAATGGCATAGGATTGTTTCAGAACTGTGGAAAAGACTGGACAAGCTGCGTGAAAAATTACAGGGTAGTGATGCATGCCGTAGACTGCAGTTAACAAACATTTTAAAGAGATGCAAAATAAAGATATGTGAAAACATAAAATAAAAAAGGGTAAGGAAGAATGACTTTTAACACTTGTTCACTGAGATAATTTTCCATACTAGCTAAACTGACCTGACTCACCATTTACATCCAGAAAGATATGCTTCAGAGCCGTTTTGGTTTTTTTAAGAGTGCATTCTGGTCACCTCAAACTTGTGTTGCCCATTTTGCATCGCTATGCAAGCTACAACTAGATGCAAAGCAATTTTTCTTTTACGTTTGCTGAACTGAGAATAAACATGCTTAACTCATCTCAAAACCCCATCTGCAACTGCTCAGTTCAACTAAAGCTTTGGTTTGTGTGCCAACGGCAAGTACCGGTAACTTCTCCAACCCCTAAAAGTGCATTAAACCGGCCTACCTTCACTTCTGCAGGCGCTCGCCTGCTCTCACCACGCTACGGGAATTTTGCTGCTGAGACTACTGTTTTGGTTTTTTAAGGCAGGCCCGCAGCAGCGCTCCCCGCGTGAAGACGCCTGGGCACCTCACGCCCCTCCAACAAGCGAGGCCTTCTTTCAACTCAAGCCCTCTCCTCGCACGAAGACACCCCCCCGCCCCCGCCCGCAGCGGCGATGCC